TCAGAACAGAGAGGAAAGGTGATTTGTCTAAATTCAGCCACTGGGCAGGGGCAGAGTGGGGAACTGACACTGTCAGCTGATTTCAAGAAGTGCTTTTAACCACCATGCTGTACTATCAAAGCTAGTTAGCTGATTTCTTCCAATAATACAGGCATATGTACTTAGTTTGGGTTTTACACCTTCCCATTATATTTTACACTGGTATATTTAATTTTACTTCTGTGGGTTTAACACATTCCTATGGATATATATAAAATATTTTGCAAACGAATACAGATTATGAATAAACTTTAAACTTTTTTTGGTAAAATGTAGATGCACTGATTGCAGTATATTACAAGAAACCATGGCCAAGTAGAATTTAATGAATACAAGATTATTCCTGTATCAGGATGGTCATAGACGGACTCATTTTTTTTTTTTTTTTAATGTTAGGAAAAAAAGTGCAATGGTAACTGCCATAAGAATTCTCCAACAATCTCATAAAATGTTGGATTTGGGGATTGATATTAGAATGTCTTAATCCAGAGAAAAATAAACACATAATAAATCCTTGTGTGACAAACTGTCTGAAACCCATTATTATAAAGTTACCTTTCCTTTCAATATGTCTCTCCAACATCAAGGCTGAAAACAATCTCACCACAACCGCACATCACAGCTTTTAATATAGACACAGTTACTACCTCCATTTAGCATTTTATACACCAATGTTGGAGAAAACATTTCTATTCCAGAAATTACCAGACACATTGACTCTGCACAGGATTGGATAGTTCTTGCAGATTCATACTATTCTGTATTTGGGGCATGGAAATAATAGAAATCTAAACAATTAGTCCAAAATTTAATTAAATAGGAAATAAAAAAATCAACAGAAAATTATTTAAAAAGTAGTTGAAAAGATCAGTGAGAGGGGCAAGATAGCCGTCTGGAAGCTGTTGACTGGCATCTCTCTCAAAGAGCAAAGCAAGAAAAAGAGCTCCAAAAGTCAGAGACCCCCAGCGATGAGAGTAAGTTAAGGAGGATACAGCTCACAGAGTAACTGTGGGTGGGACTCAGAGAGAGTAGAGAGGAGAAGGAGCAGCCTGCTTGGAAGTCAGGGAGCCCCTCTCATGCCTGGGTCATGTCAGTAGCAGAGAGTAGGCTCTGGATGTGAGGAAATGGTGTGTGCAGGAAATTAAGGATTTGGCACTCTCACTACGGACTGAAAGGGTCCACTGGGCCTCACGGGACTCCAGTCCCACGTGGGAAATAACCAGGATACAGCAAAGTAGTGTACTGCCAGAGCTCATACAAAGCTGGGAACCTGTTTGAAGTCTGAATGCCTATGGCAAAAACATCCCTCAAGAACTTGATTCCTGAAGGTGGTGTTTGGTAGCTAGCTAAGAGGTCAGAAGAGACTGGATACCCACCTGCCTTTATCTGCCCCAAAGACAAAATTCTACCACTGCTGACAGATCCTGTTTGGGGCAAACTGCAGCAAGAGATCCTGTTGCTGAACAATCTTCTGACTTCTGAAGGTGAACAGCCTCTAGCAAAAGAAGGGGATCCAGGAGGGGCCCTATCATCATGGTAGCCCTTCTCTCCTACATGAACTCTTCTGTGCAACAGACGGCTCTACCATTCCAGCAGCAGTGTCACAGTAGCAGGGGGACCTATGCCCCCTCTCAATTCCCACTGAGTGAACACAGGTGGGGAACTGGAACACAGACCAGTCAGACCCAGAAAAACCCTGCTGCTGAAAGAAAATTTGAGTTCTGACCATGAACAGCTTCAAACAAGGGAAGAGAAGTTGAAGCCTGTCATCCTGGCAACTTGCTCTCCTCAGGTGTACTCTTTTGTACAACAGGGACAGCTTGACCATCCCTGCAGTGTAGCACAGTGGCCAGGGACCTGTTTTCCATCGGGGTAGCAAATAATGACAATGGGGAAGGGGGGAGCTGAAGAGTGGTCCAGTCTGACCTAGCCCTATCTGACCAGCTTTCACTTCCAAGCCCCCTCAAAACCCCCCTTACCCCCTCTAAATACCTTGGCATCCATCCAAACAAAGAATAAAAGATCTTTAAAATGACTACTGCAAAAAACTGCTCAAAGAAATCAAAGATGACACAAATAAATGGAAGAACATCCCCTGATCACGGACTGGAAGAATCAGTATTGTCAAAATGGTCTTTCTACCTAGAAAATCTACAGATTCAGCACAACCTTATTCAAATTACCAGCATCATTTTTCACAGATTTATAAAAGAAGATAAGCAGTTGAAAAGAAAGTACAAAAGCGCTTGGATAGATACAGCAATCCTCAGCAAAAAGAACAAAGCTGGACGCATCACACTCCTGGACTTCAAACTTTACTACAAAACTACAGTAACCAAAACAGCAAGGTACTGGAACAAAAACAGATACATAAACCAATAAACAAGACAGAGAATCTGGAAATAAAACCATGGGCCATCAAGTAACTTCTATTTGTCAAAGCCAAGAAAAAGAAACATTGGGGAAAGGAGAGCATATTTAGCCAATGGTATTGGGAAAACTGGCTAACCACATGCAGAAAAGTAAGTCAGGACCCCGACCTATCATCATACACAAAAATTAACTCAAAATGGATAGGGGACTTAACTGTAATATCTCAATCTATAAGAATTGTAGAAGAAAACGTAAGGAACGCCCTCCTGGAAATCAGAGTAGGCAATGAATTTAAGGTTAAATTCTCAAAAGCAAATGCAGTAAAAGTTAAAATTGATAGTAGGATCTTATCAAGTTAAAATGATTTTGTACAGCAAAAGAAGCCATCAAGGGAGAAAAAAAGCAACCCACAGAATGGGAAAAAATATTTGCAAGCTATGCCTCTGATGAAAGCCTAACAACCAGAATCTACAAGGAACTCAATTGAATTGACAGAAAACAAACAAACAAACAATAACCCCATAAAAGGTGGGCAAAAGACATGAAGACACTTCTTAAAGGAAGACATGTAAGCAGTCAACAAACATGAAAAAATGCTCAGCCTCACTAATCATTAATGAAATTCAAATTAAAACTATAATAAGATACCACCTGATGCTAGTCAGAATGGTTATCATTAAAAAGTCAAAAACTAACAGGTGATAGGGTGCAGAGAAAAAGGAATGCTTCTAAACTGTTAGTGGGAATGTAAGCTAGTTCAACCTTGTGGAAAGCAATGTGACATTTTCTCACAAAACCAAAAATTGAGCTGCCATACAGTCTGGCAATCTCACCTCTGGGAATATACCCAGAGGAAAAGAAATCATAGAACTGACTGAAGGCTTTACCATATTTCTTACATTTCTGAAATTTCTTTCTAGTATAAGTTCTTTCACACCTATGAAGGGAACATGAAAGAGAGAAAGCTTTATCAAATTTCTGATACACAGCATTTTATCCAGAGTGAGTACTTTCATGTTTTTGAAGATTACTGGGATGACTGAATGCCTTTCCGCAATCTTTACATTCATAGGGTCTCTCTCTAGTATGAGTCTTTTTATGCTTATTAAGGTGACTGGAATGAATAAAGGCTTTACCACATTGCTTACAGTCATAGGGTTTATCTCCAGTATGAGTTCTTTTATGGATATGTAGAGACATGCGACATCTAAAGGCTTTCCCACATTCTGCACATTTATAGGGTTTCTCTCTAGTATGAAGTCTTTCATGAGAATTAAGCTGATTGGATTGTCTGAAGGTTTTACCACATTCCTTACATTCATAGGGTTTCTCTCCAGTATGAAGTCTTTCGTGGGAATAAAGGTGACCTGATTGACTGAAAGTCTTACCACATTCCTTACATTCATAGGGTTTCACTCCAGTATGAATTCTTTCATGGTCATGACGAGAACTGGGACATCTGAAGGCCTTACCACATTCCCTGCATTCATAAGGTTTCTCTCCAGTGTGAATTGTTTCATGGTATTTAAGTTGAAATAAGCGACTGAAGGCTTTACCACATTCCCTACATTCATAGGGTTTCTCTCCAGTATGAATTCTTTCATGGTCACGAAGAGATGTGGAAAATCTGAAAGCTTTACCACATTCCCTACATTCATACGGTTTCTCTCCAGTATGAAGTCTTTCATGGTTTTTAAGTTGACTAGAGTAAGTGAAGGCTTTACCACATGCCCTACATTCATAGGGTTTCTCTCCAGTATGAATTCTTTCATGGTATTTAAGTTGACTGGGGTGAATGAAGGCTTTACCACATTCCTTACATTTATAGGGTTTCTCTCCTGTATGAATTCTTTCATGGACATGACGAGAACGGGGATATCTGTATGCTTTACCACATTCCCTACATTCATATGGTTTCTCTCCAGTATGAATTCTTTCATGGTATTTAAGTTGAGTGGAACGACTGAAGGCTTTACCACATTCTCTACATTCATAGGGTTTCTCTCCAGTATGAATTATTTCATGACTTTTCAGGTGACTGGGGCTATTGAAGGCTTTACCACATTCCTTACATTCATACGGTTTTTCTCCAGTGTGAATCCGTTCATGTTGTTTAAGCAAAGAGGGAAAACTGAAGACTTTTTCACACTGCTTACATTCATAGGGTTTCTTTCCAGTGTGAGTTCTTTGATGCTTTAGAAATGAATGGGGAAGAGCAAAGACTTTCCCACACACCGTACAATTATAATGTTCCTTTCCAATGTGCATTAGCATCTCCCTTTGAACACTTGTAAGAGAAGTAGTTTTCTGACATTCTTTACATTTATATGGCTTGCCTCCACATTCCTTGCACTCATATAGATTGCTTTCAGGGTTAGAGATGGTAAGCCTATGAAGGAATAAATGACATATGAAGATTTTCTTACACACAATACATTCACAAAGTTTTACTCCAATGGATATGTTTTCCTTTAAACTAGGATTTGGAGTTTGACTGAAAATATTCTCTACGTTGACTACCCTCTTTGCTTCCACACAGTCTCTCTAACATATGACTTCTATAACAAATGACAAGCACCTCATTACTGTTTTATTAATAATTTTCTATTTATTAATAGGTCTGGGGCTTACATTGCTACAAATCAGGGAATGTTTTGGATGATCACTACATTGTAGGAAAGTAAATGGATAGATTATACTACAATATAGCTCCATCCCATCTAGTTATTCAATGTGATCATTCATATGTGCAGTTTATTAGTACTGGTACCAACTAAACTATTTTGAAAAGACTGAAAATCTACATGTTTCTGGTAAATATTTTTTAACAATAAATAAATTTAAGTCATTCTTGTTTTTAAAATACCATGACATGCTAACATTGCCTGAAACAATACTGTTTCCTCTTCTGAGTTTACATTACCGTAAATTTCTCCAAGAATTTTCATATTGATCTTTAATATTCTGGTCCTCCCATTTGTTTCCTAAAAAGTAGATCCAGAAAAATCATTATAAATTAGTAGAAATTATAAAGAAATTAGTTACTTCTAGGTGCTACATTTTGTACCCACCAAACTTGATGTTGAAATTTGACCTTCAATTTGGCTATGTTGGGAAGTGGGGTCTTGTAAGATGTGTTTGGGTTATAGGACAAAATCCCTCATGAATAGGTTCACACCCTCCCTCATGTGTATGGCAGTTTTCACTTTTGTGAGACTGGACTGATTACCAGAAAGTCATTTGTTATAAAAGCAAGTTTAGCTTCCTAGACTCACTCTTATTATCACTATGTGATTTCTGCACATGCCCTTGTCCCTTCTGCTTTCTGCCATGAGATGAAGCAAACATCAGGTCCTCACCAGAGATAGCTGCTCATCCTGGATTTCCCAGTCACTGAAATCATGAACCAAAATAAACTCTTTTGTTTCTAAATTACCCAGTGCCAGCTATTTTGTTATAGCAGCAAACAAGAGAGATAGAAACAAGACTCACAGTACACTGGGAACATGCCCAATTTATTCACCAAAGTATTCTTTTCCCACATTCCAAATCATGGATCAGCTTTGAAAGTCATGGAACACTTATCCTTTAAATGAGTAAGTGAAGAAATATTGTCATTTTTACCAATAGAAGCCAGATTCTTGAAGGTTTCTCGCATCACATCTCTATAGAGATTCTTCTGGGAAGGATCCAGCAAAGCCCACTCCTCCTGGGTGAAGGTTACAGCCACATCCTCAAAGGCCAGTGAGTCCTGGAACATCCCACATTTTTGTAGAGGAATATGAGTGAGATAGAACCACTGGAACTCTACAGTCATTTCATAAGGTGTTCACCTGTTTCTGTGGGGCCCAAACATCTATTTCCTGATGTGGTCATCAGATTATGATTTTCCAGCAGTTCTGATAGCAAAATTGAACGATTTAAGAAGGTGTTCAGTAGAAACACCCTTTCTTGTTGCTGGGCTCAGGGACTAAGATGTGCTGCCAGGTCACCCCTAATTTCTCTATAGAATATATCCATAGGACCTGTCGTGACAATGTCCTACTACTTGGTTCACATGAGTGTTAACATTGACAATCCTGAGACCACTCATTCTTATAAATGCCTGCTCAAAGTCTGACCTTTGCTGGTAAGAGGAATCTTGAATTTGGAAGGGATCCCAAGAATCTAAGTGATAAAAGTGGCTCACTGTGGGTGAAATCTTTCCCGAACAACATGGTATTTAACAAACTTCTGTTTTCCTTCTAAACTTCTATTTCATTCACTTCTCTCAGTAAAACCTAGGGGATCAGACCAAACAAAACAACCACAACAAACACCAAACCACACCAAACCAAAAACACTGTGAATATTAAGTATCTAATGAGCTCCCCCAGTAGGTAAGATTATATGCATACTGTCACAGTTTTTTAGTTGGGGGAATGGAGTCTCTTTAGGTAAAATTCTCAGAGTATATTTCTCCTTCATTCTCACACAACCACTACTATAACAATCACCAACAGAGAAGACTTCTGTGATCAAAGGTATAAGGAATTTCCTCCACACATCAATCACTGGGCACCAGCTTGGTGTTCTCCAACTCAGTTCTGACACTATTTACCTGGAGATCACATAGGGTGAGGTCTCAGTTCCCTAGTTGGCCCCTCAGACAGTTGCAAATCTGGGCCCCTGGACCTTCTTACCAATCAGATTCAAGCTGGGTTCACACAACTGCCTCTTTGAACTTGATTAATTTGCTGGAAAGGCTCACAGAACTCAGGGAAACATTTACATTTACTAGTTTATCATAAAGACTACTGCAAAAGATAAAAATGAAAGGATGTACAGGACAAAGTATGGGGGAAGGCGACAGGGAGCTTCCATGTCTTCCCTAGGCACCACCCTCCAGGAGCCTTCATGTTTTCAGCTATCCAGAAGCAAGTTCTCTAAATTTTTATGGAAGCTTCAAGCATCAGAATTCCTTCCCCCAGGGTATAGGGTTGGTCCCTTTTTGCGGAAGGCCTTAAGACCCACAAACAGAAGGCAGGGGAAAACTAGAGTTCAGCCTTGCAGCTAGTGAAAGTAAAGCAGAAGATGGTCAGAGATATTGTTTCTGAGGCCTGTCTGGGACGCCTAAGACACTCAACATTGTAACAAAAGACTATATTAAGAGTGATGCAAGTTATGAGCCAAACACCATGGAGGAAAACCAATTTACAAATATTTATCATAACATCACAGAGTCCATCATATGTGGTTACACCAAGAGAAAGTTAGAAAGTTTGCAAGTGATTTACACTAAATTTAATCAGGAATTAAATAAGTATAATAATTAATTTTTAATGATTCAAACAGACCAATTTTAAAATTTCTATTGTAACATGTCAAAGCAGAATAGGTGAAAAGATGGCACAAATTCTTACAAAGAACTCAATGTTAGCTAATATCACTTCTTACAAATATCCTTACATAATTTTATGAATCCCTAAAAGAGACACTGAGTAGTCAACAAAAACTATTTCTCAAAACCAATAAATATAATCAACGTATCAAAATTGCCAAAGTCCTCTGAACATCAATATGATGGCTTGCTTAATATACAACAAGGATTATTTTTTATTTTTATTTTTTGAGTTGGAGTCTCACTCCATTGCCCAGGCTGGAGTACAGTAGCATGCTCACGGCCATCCCCGTGCCAACCCACTGGGCTCAGGCTATCCTTCAGCCTCAGCCTTCCAAGTAGCCAGAACTACAGGCATGCGCTACCACGCCTGGGTAATTAAAAAAAAATTTTATTGTAGAGATGAGGTCTCGCCAAGTTGCCGAGGCCGTTCTCAAACCCATGGGCTTAGATAATCTCTTCCCCTTGGCCTCCCAAAGTACTTGAGATTATAGGCGTGAGCCACTGCGCCCAGCAGAGAGTAATAATCTTTATATCCTGACCCCCTGGGAAGAGGAAAGCTGCCCATGAGGCTGATAAACTTATTTTCTCTTAAGCAATGGGCCTAAGGTTGCACAGATCTCCCTGAAGGCATCCTGAAGCAAAGGGTGTGAGTAGCTTTAATCTCCAGGGCCCCCTCCTCTTACACATGTTCCTGCTAACACTCTCTTTATGAAGGCTCACTGCCCAGGGGTCTGTAGCTAATGGTTGTGGAACTCTTTATAGATAGTATCTATTGTAAACTCCAAAATTGGTTTATGGGATTTTTTTCCAGGCTTAGCACTCTGATGGACCCAGGACTCCATGGAAACCCAGAACATATACCAAGAAGCTGACTCCACAGTCCTGGGGCCTCCTCTAAGAAACAGGCTGTGACATCCTCCCCCACCCCATGACTTCATTCCCAACCAATCATGGCACTTGTTCTCTAGTCCCCTGCCAGCCTAATTATTCCTTGAAAAACTCTAGATTCTTGGGGAGACAGATTTGAGGACTATTTCCTATCCTCCTCACTCTGCTGCTTTGCAATGTTAAACTTTCTCTAAGGCAACGGCTGCCATCAGTATGTTGTTTTTTCCGGGCAGTGGACAAACTTGGTCAGGCTATAACACTCACAGGACGGAAATGCTCCCTAATCCAAGGTCTCAGTTCTAATCAGTATCCACTCATCCATCTGGAGTCAGTTTAAGCTTCTAACCTGCGAGGGCTTTTCTCTTACACAAATGTGGGGAGTCTGCTGAACCTCAATAATTCTCCAACATAGACTGTGTCTACAAAAACAATTTTGACAGCACCCAGATTCAGCACAGACTCCACAAACTCAGGGATCAGCCTCCACATCACTGCCTCCACTGCAGAGGCCAGCTGCAAACCCCAGGGGACCATCTATTCCTCTGAGCAACTGCTTATAAATCAGGGGCTTCCAATACACCTCCTCATGTTTAATAATTTGAAAGAACTACACACAAAACTCAGCAAAACACTACTTAGGTTTAACAAGAATCCTAGTGAATAGTTGTTATTAAAAAAAAAAAATCCCCCATTCTGTGTTTCTCAAGAGCATCTTACTGCAAGCACCCTTCCCATTATGATTTAGATGCTGCTCCTTTATTTACCTATCACAAATCCATATAGACTCTACAAATTTCTCTTGCTTCATAAACAATTAGCCTAACAGTTTTGTCTACAATAGTTAGAACAAAATTTCACTTAAATTTCTCTTCTACCCCAGGACCCTGAGCCTGAGCTAAATACAACCTCTCTTATGATTCCCTGATCTGAGATCTGATTTTGCCATTCTCCATCTTGCCCTCCTCTCCCACTTTCTCAGATTATAACCATTTATGAAATATGTTAACACAGATGGAAAACATCCAATGAAATTTTTTTAAAATTTCAGATTTCATAACTGTCTTGGCCTCTAGTCTTTTAAGGAGGCAGCCTGAGCTTTAAAAGGGGGAGGCAGGCAGCTCAGGCGGTGAGAGAAGCAGCAGTGGCCAGTCAGCCCACCCTCCTTTGCAAAGGCTCCCAGTGCACTGCAGCCCGCAGGCACCCAGCACATGCCCTGCCTACTGCCAAGATACCCAAGAGGAAGGTCAGGGAGATCTGCATGATTGTCAGAAGAGAGATCTGCATAGTTGTTAGATAAAACTGCTCCAGCAAAAGTGGAAGCGAAGCCCAAAAAGGCAGCAGGAAAGGATAAATATTCAGACAAAAAAGTGCAAGCAAGAGGGAAAAGGGGAGCAAAGAGAAACCAGGCTGAAGTGGCTAACCAAGAAACTAAAGAAGAGTTACCTGCAGAAGACAGAGAAACTAAAACCCAGGAGAATTTAGTCTCTGATGAAGCAGAAGAGAAAGAAGCCAAGTCTGAATAAAATCATATCCCATGTCATATCAGTGGTGCCTATCTCCCTTCTTGTACAATCCAAAGGAATACTTTTATCAACTATTTTATAAATGCAAGTTTTTAGTAGCTCTAGAAACATTTTTAAGAAGGAGGGAACTCCACCTCATTCCATTTTTTAAGTGTAAATGCTTGTTTTTAAGAGGTGAAATCATTTGCTGGTTGTTTATTTTTTGGTACAAACAGAAAATAATGATGGATATTGAATTACGGGAGGCTTTGACTGTCTTGGGTGTCAGCTTAACATTCCATAGGTGGGGGGTTAGTTTTTATATCCTATAATGCAAAGTATACTATGTGACAATATGGATCACAGTCCTGCATTTAATGTCTTGAACATTTAAAATTACTTCTATTCCCATGTTGTTTTTTAGTACAATTGTTTCCTAAAGAAAACCACTCCTTGATCGTGGCTCTCCCTGTCAGAATTGTGTGCACTTTGTAACATCTTTGGTTATGGTAGCCCTATTTTCCTAATAACTTTGTTAATGTGTTGTGAAAGATTAAAAAATTGAGTATGTTGTATATATGATAAATTATGAACTGCTGGGATGTATGCAACAGCTTATCAACACTTGAAGATACTGGTACTGATATATTCTTAAGGAAAATTTGCCTACAAATTTTAAGCTGGAAAGCCACTGGAAAAACTTTTTAAAAATAATGATACATGGCTTTTTAGATTTTCGGTACGTATGTTAAGAATTGTGTGCAAATGGAAATGTCTGTGTACTGATCCTCTCGAACACAACCAACAAACTCAATTATGAAAAAAAAGAAAAGGGGGAGGCAATCCTCTAAGGCAGTAATGTCCAATAGAAATAAAATGTAAGTCACATATGTCATATAAAATCTCCTACTGGCCACATGATAGGAAATAAAAAATAAACAGGTGAAATGTGTTGCCATAATTTACTTAATCCAAAAT